CAGGAGTAATTAGGGCCTCAGGCATGTTTTCCATCCTCCTCAAAGGCAATTCGTTGGCTCACACACCAGGAAATCAAAATTTCTGAGAAACCGAAACTAGAGGAAGGGGGGTGCAGTATGGGGAGCAGAGCCCTGCAAGGACCCTCCCCCAGCATCCGGACCTCATTAAGATCTGGGCTAGGCTGCAGGAACGCATTTCCTGTCCTGCTTCATGAGCACAGACCGCCAGCAACTCATCCCCCAAACTCAGGAGATGGGCAAGGAGGAGCACGAGGTGGCTGTCCTGGGGGCTCCCTACAACGCTGCACCCATGGCGTCCACCGTGATCAACATCCACAGTGAGACGTCCGTCCCCGACCATGTCGTCTGGTCCCTCTTCAACGCTCTTTTCCTCAACTGCTGCTGCCTGGGCTTTGCTGCCTACGCCTACTCTGTGAAGGTGCGGGGGTCCTCCATGCGGGGGTGAGGGCTCCTTGGGGTGCCCGCTGCTGAGACGGGCCTACTCTGTGAAGGTGCGTGTGCTGGCGCGCGGGGGTCCTCCATGCGGGTGTGAGGGCTCCTTGGGGTGCCCGCTGCTGAGACGGGCCTGGGGTGAGTGATGAAGTTTGTGTGTGTGGCCGTGTGTGTGCACGTGTGTACTGGGTACACGGGGATTCTCCACGGGAGTGCGAGTGAGCATAGGGGGTGCTCTCCACCTAGGCGGGCCTGGCACGAGTATGAGGGTGCGTGTGTGTTTGTGTGTGTGTGTCTGTGTGCATGTGTACTTGTATGTCCGTGTGCGTGCATGTGTGTACCGGGTACATGGGGATTCTCCACGAAGGTGAGTGAGCATACAGGGTGCCCTCCGCCTAGGCGGGCCTGGGACCTGTGTGAGGGTGCGTGTGTGCCTGTGTGTCTCTTGTGTCTGTGTCTTGGAGAGTCTGTCTGAGTGTAGGTCCATGATGACACTGCAGGGCCGCATGACATTGACCCTAAGGAACGCCCCCTCTCTCATAGCCTAATAGAGAAATTAATCCATCACTCTTGGGATAGGCCCCAGGTTGGCTCCAGAAACACCAAGTGCTCTCACTCAGGGACCTGGGGGAGGGGGGTGCAGTGCTGGGACCACAGCAGAGGGAGGGAAGACCCAGGCTCCCTGGAGGGGCTGAGGGGCTGGGAGGAGGTCTTGACCCTAGCAGGACGGGGACAGGAACTGTCCTCCTTGGGCTCCAGCGGACAGTGGGGCTCTCTGATGTGG